ACCCTGCCCAGCGCCTGAGAACCAGGGGGGCAGCGTGGGGACGGGAGCCGTGCCTGTAACCCCCATTGCAGAGGGGCCGTGTGGGGGGAGCATTGGGCAGGGCGGGAAGCCAACAGAGGAGCACGCTGCCCCTGGGGGCGGGGGGCCCTACAAGTGTGGGGAGTGTGGGCAGGGCTTTGGCAGCCAGGCCTCCCTGGCCAAGCACCGGCGGCAGCACGCCGGGGTGGGCGCCTTTCCCTGCAGCCAGTGTGGCAAAGCCTTCAGCAACAAGGGCAACCTCCTGCGGCACCTGAAGCTACACAGCGGGGAGAAGCCGCACGGCTGCGCGGAGTGCGGGCGGCGCTTCCGCACCAAGCAGACCTTCCTGTCGCACCAGCGCGTGCACACTGGGGAGAAGCCCTTCGCCTGCCGCCAGTGCGGGCGGAGCTTCACGCGCAAGGAGAACCTCGTGCGCCACCAGGAGACCCACGTGCACAAAGAGCCCCACACTTGTCCCGAGTGCGGCAAGAGCTTCCTGCACGAGGGCTCGCTGCTCCTGCACCGCCGCGCCCACTCCGGGGCCCGGCCCTTCCCCTGCGCCCACTGCGGCAAGAGCTTCAACTGGAAGACGAACCTGACCACCCACCTGCGCAGCCACGCTGGGCAGCAGCCCTCCGCCTGCCACCAGTGCGGCCAGCGGTTCGGCGACCGCGGAGACCTGCTGCGGCACCAGAGGGCCCACGCGGGCGGCGGGCTGCCGACAGGCTACGGCAACGGGGAGACCTTCAGCGAGTTCCTCCAGATCCACGAGATGCTGATCTCCCGCACGCACGCCCGCAAGCCCCTGGGTGCCCTCACCAAGTACAAGTGAAAGCTGTCTGCAGGGCTGGGGCGGCTCTGGCAGCGCGGGAGCAGGGGAGGACGCCCAGCCCTGTCTCCCAGCACGTGGCAGGATAGATGACCCTGGCAATGCAGGTATGCCAGCGGGGCTACAGCCCGGCCGGGGAGCACGACCCTGGTGGGGGGAGCGCTCTGGAGCTCCTCGGTGCAAGCTCCTCCCCCAGGATTTTTCCTTTGGCTGTTTGTTGGTTCCCTGCCAGATGGAGGGTGACAGCTGCCCCCTGGGGTGCACTGGTCCCATTGTTTAGGCCGCTGACTCCTAGTGACGAAGTCCTGCGGCACGTTCCCAGAGTAGCAAGCAGCCAGTGCTGCTCTCTGAGCTCTCATGTCGCCGACCCTTGCAGGAGGGGCTGCTGGACATGCCCCGATAGCCAGTACCTAGCAGAGAAGAGCGGGGCCTAGGAGAAATCTTCCCGCTGAGCCCCAGGTAGCACGCAGGCTCCGGTGCTCCAGCCAAGGGGTCCCGAGAGGCAGATCTCGCTGCAGCAAGGCCCACGTCTGGGAGAGAAGGCAGATGGCAGCTTGCTGTACTCCAGCCCACGACTGCTGACTCTAGGCTGGGGTTTTAGGGGAGTGCATGGGTTAGCCTGGGGCTGGAGAGCCAGAGAGAACCACAGGATCTGTCCAGCAGCCCCAGTCCGGAGTCGCAGTACATTGGCTGCCCAGAGCAGCCTGGCTCGCTGGTAAAGGGCCTGTAGCCGCACTGGCGAAAGCCTGGCTAGAGGCACCATTGACCAGTCTCCGTTCTCAGGTCTCCTTAACCAGCCAGGACCGAGTCGCCGGTGGGTGCTTGTGAATCCCAGCTGCCCGCCAGCATGTCCTAGCCGCAGTGCCAGCCTTGCCCGTCCAGCCTCCGGTCACACCCTTCTGACGACCCTCTTGCCTTGTAAGAACCATAGAAACGCTGGGCTGGAAAGGACCTCGGGAGGTCACCCAGTCCAGAGCCCGGCTGAGGCAGGACCAAGAAAGCCCAGCCCAGCCCTGACAGGTGTTCATCCAGCGGGTTCTTGAAAACCTCCAGTGACGGGGCCTCCATGACCTCCCTTGGGGCCTGTCCCAGAGCTTCGCTGCCCGGAGAGTTTCTGCTACTATCGAACCGAAATCGCCCTCGTCCCCCACTTCAGTTTGAAGCTGGCTTTAGCTGCAGCTCTCAGCCTGGCCAGAGCCTGAGCCAGTGCTGGGTCCCCTCTGAAATCTGGGAACGCCTCGTTTCGCAGGGTCGAGCCGTGTCCCCCCGGGCTGCTTTGGCGGCGCCAATGATGCTGCAGTTTGAGTGGGTGAGGAGGGACAGGCGAGGCGTGTTAGCAGCACCAGCGGGGTCCTGCTTAAAGAACATTTTCTTTACTAAGACTGTAACTCACCAGCTCAGCTGAGAAATGTGCTACCTTCACGCAGGAAGGGAAGGGCTGGCTGACGAAGCAGCGTATGCAATGAAACTGGGCGCGGTACATAAATACACTCTCCCGCTGTCAGACCCAGTGTCCAATAAACCCGTCCAGTTCTCGCTTGCTGGGCTCCGGCGCAGCATGTTTGTGTAATTGCGGAGTCCCCCGGGGGCGTAGGAGAACCTGGTGCAGCATCGGCTTTTCTGGGTTCTTCAACTCCCATGCATGTGCCGGGGGCCAAGTGTCAATCAGATTTTCTCCCTTGTTCGTGCTGTATTTCTGTAGGGCCGTGCCCCACCCAGCTCCACCCTTCCCCTCCTGAGCCCTACCCAGACCTCTGCATGCATCCCGTGCATGACCCACCCCTCGGGGAGCTCTGCACTCCTCCGCTGTCCTGGGGTAATGGTACAGAATCACCGAAAGCGGCTTTCCGCCAGCGCTGAGCAGGGAACTCAGGGACTCGGCCTTCGAAGGAAGCGAAGCAGGGAATGCAGATGTGCGCTGCCTGCTCAGTAACCCGGGCTCCCCGGCTGCCCAAGCCTTTATTCCCCAGCCCCCCCGTTACACCGGCAGGGCTGGGTGAGAGAGAGCCGGGGTCTGTCCCCGTGAGCCCTGCAGGGCCAGTGGTGCCTGGGTGTAGGGGTGGGTCTGTCCCCGGGGAGCTCTGGGGGACTGGGCAAGCTAAGGGAGGGGATCCCGGGCAGCCCTGCGAGGCCAACCTGGCTAAAGGAGGGCCCCCCCAGGAGCCCTGCGGGGCCAGGCTGGCTAAGGGAGGGGGCCCTGGGGAGCCCCGTCGGCGTCGGGCCGAGCTGGCTAAGGGAGGGGAGCCCTGCGGGGCCAGCTCGGCTAAGGGAAGGGGAGCCGAGGTCTGTTCCGGGGAGCCCTGTGGGGCCAGGCTGGCTAAAGGAGGGGCCCCCCAGGAGCCCTGTGGGGCCAGGCTGGCTAAGGGAGGGGGCTCTGGGGAGCACCATCGGCGTCGGGCCGAGCTGGCTAAGGGAAGGGGAGCCGAGGTCTGTTCCGGGCAGCCCTGCAGGGCCGACCTGGCTAAGGGAGGGGGAGCCGAGGTCTGTTCCGGGGAGCCCTGCGGGGCCAGGCTGGCTAAGGGAGGGGGGCCCTGGGGAGCCCTGTGGGACTGGGTCAGCTAAGGGAGCGGGAGCCGGGGTCTGTTCCGGGGAGCCCTGCGGGGCCAGGCTGGCTAAAGGAGGGGGCCCCCAGGAGCCCTGCGGGGCCAGGCTGGCTAAGGGAGGGGGAGCCCCGTGGGACCGGACCGGCTAAGGGAGGGACCCCGGGGTCTGCGCCCCCGCAGCAGGTTCGGTGCCCGAGGTCCCGGCGGTTACGGCTTGTGCCCGAAGCCCCCGGCCAGGGCCGAGTTTGGGGCCCTTGGGCCGGGGCAGAGCCGAGCCCCGCTGCAGCCTGGGGCCGGGTGGAGGGAACCGGCTCGTGGGTAGCGAGCCCCGGGCTGCTCCTCCCCGGCGCTGGGCCGGGCTGTGTGAGCGGCTCCTCCCCCGTCCCCGCCCGCCTCCTTCCGGCCCCGGCCCCGGCCCCGGCCCAGCCCGGCGGAGGAAGCGCAGCGGCGCCGGGAGGCTCCGCGGGCGCCGAGCAGCGCCGAGCCCCGGGCCGCGCAGGGGGCATGGCCGCTGGGAGCGCTGCGCAGGTAGGGGCGGGCGGCTCGGCTCGGGGCGCCTGCAGGCGGGGGGCTGCCCTGGCACCTTCCCCTCCCCGCCCGGCTGCGGGGGCCAGGGGCCGTTAGATCATCTAGTCTGAGCTCGGTGCATCCCCTAGAAACATCCCGG